CCATGAATGCACTGGTAAGTTGTTAAATATTAGTATTTTTTTTCTTTTCGGACAATCTTGATTATAAATGGGACATCTTTTGTCATTTAAAATGATCGTGCAGGTTCGAGTGTCAGCAGTTCTTACTAATGGACCTTTTATGCTGAATCTTGATTGTGATCACTACATAAACAACAGCAAGGCATTGAGAGAAGCGATGTGCTTTTTAATGGATCCTAACCTTGGAAAATATGTCTGTTATGTTCAATTCCCTCAGAGATTCGATGGTATTGATAGGAACGATCGATATGCCAACCGGAATACAGTTTTCTTCGATGTAAGTTTGAACTTCAGTGATAGCTACTGACTTATACTCTGTGAGAGGCTAGAATAGTATGCAGCTCATGCACTTTTATGCTCAGATTAATTCATGTGGATCTTGGTTTGAAATTACTGTTCTTTGTTGAACCAGATTAACTTGAGAGGTTTGGATGGAATTCAAGGCCCAGTGTATGTGGGTACTGGATGTGTCTTTAATAGAACAGCTTTGTATGGTTATGAACCTCCTATTAAGCCAAAGCATAAGAAAGCAGGGTTGTTCTCTTCCTGCTTTGGTGGATCAAGAAAGAAGAGTTCTAAATCAAGTAAAAAGGGCTCAGACAAGAAGAAATCTAGTAAGAATGTTGATCCCACTGTGCCAATATTCAATCTGGAGGATATAGAGGAGGGAGTTGAAGGTATAGTTCAAACTACTAATTTTTTTTACTTCATGCTTATTGATGTTATCTTCGTCTGGGTGGTTCACCAACCCCAGAATGATTATGCTGGTGCTTGTCCTGCTACACCTTGCTTAGCAACTCTTTTTTTTTAATAAGTTAATTGGCAAAGCTGTTCCATCAGAAAAATTGCAAGTTGCTAATGTCTCTTCAATCTAGATACCTATAATTTTCAACAGTCACTTCCTTCTCCATCATATAGACTTCATCTACCTTGTAGTTCATTACTTAAGATAACCTCAAATATTCTTCTTGTAATTACTTCTGAACTAAAAATAGAAGATAACCTTTATGCTGTTGACTAGCTTGTAGAATATCAATCAACCAATTGTGTGTCAATCCAAAATTATTTTGGGTGTTGCTATAGGAATTCTTCATATCCATTACTTCGCTTTATTGCTTAGCTTGTTGAATATGGTTTTGTAAAATTTGTAACTGCTAATTCATACACATACTGCAAGAAGTATTCTAGGTATGGGTATACTTATGTGTTTCTGTTGCTTGCCCACACCTCTTTCGTAAAAACAGAAAAATCAAATTGTAGGCATGTAACCGATCTTCTTTAAGAAAATGCTTGTGGAGAATTGAGAATTGATTAGCATGCTAAAATTATAAACAAGGAATGCAACTCATCCCTGTGTATAGACACCACTTTTGTGTTTTATCAAGTTTGAGGATTAAAGGACCTTTTGTCCTCATTATGTTCCTGTGCACTCATTATTTACAGGATTATACTATTTATTTATGCTTGAAGACCCTTAAGTCTATGTTGTGGTTCAATATATTCTTGAAGTTTTGCTAATTTCTCACATGCACTGTCTCCTCTCTCTCAATCATGAAATCAGGTGCTGGATTTGATGATGAGAAGTCACTTCTCATGTCACAAATGAGTCTGGAGAAGAGATTTGGGCAATCAGCTGTTTTTGTTGCTTCGACACTCATGGAGAATGGCGGCGTTCCTCAATCTGCTACACCAGAGACCCTTTTGAAAGAGGCTATTCATGTTATCAGTTGTGGTTATGAAGATAAATCAGAATGGGGAAGTGAGGTAATGCTGTGTTCTGGAATTATTTTCCATAAAGTCTAGGATTGGTAGGTTTCCTGGGGGATGATTGAGTGGTTGAGTTATATGAGTAAAACTTGGAGATACCAAATTCAAATACTAGCTAGAACACTCAATATGAGCTCATCTCCGCATTTGTGCTTATGAGCCATAGCAGGTTGCTTGGTGGATTAGTCGAGATACACACAAGCTGGAGCAAAGACCACCATTAAAAAAGATGTTCTAGGATGGGTAGGAAATTGTAGATGGATAATTTCGTTGCGAGGGGAACTGTATTGACTGAACTTGAGATGACTTATTGCATAGTGTTTGACCTTCTGACAGTAAAGAAACCAAAAAGAGATCCAGTGTTAATGTTTTTAACAAAAATCATACTCCATTTCTTTCAATCTAGTGAAAGGAAAATGAAAAAAGAACTTGTCTTTCCCCTTTATAAAGAAAAGCTTGTCTATCCCTGCAATGAATATTAACTGCTTGTATAATATGATAAATGGATTACTGGAACTGAAACATGCTGCAACCATGCATAGACCCTTCAAGAAAATGATGAGCTACTTCTAGATCACTAAATTCCCAGATGCATAGGTTTTGTTACGTTATAAACATGTGAATTGCTTTTGTGGTACTACTTCTTGTTGACTCCATCCGGACCATGATGGTTGTTACTGCTATGAAAGAAGTGTGTTTGAATACTTAATTTTCTTTGTATATGTGCAGATTGGATGGATCTATGGTTCTGTCACAGAGGATATTCTTACTGGATTTAAGATGCATGCCCGTGGTTGGCGATCTATATACTGTATGCCCAAGAGACCTGCCTTCAAAGGGTCAGCTCCTATCAATCTTTCAGATCGTCTGAACCAAGTGCTTCGATGGGCTTTAGGGTCAGTGGAAATTCTTTTCAGTAGGCATTGTCCCATATGGTATGGATACAGTGGAAGGTTGAAGTGGCTGGAGAGATTTGCATATGTCAACACCACCATTTATCCAATCACTTCCATTCCACTTCTTGTATACTGCACACTTCCAGCTATCTGTCTACTTACTGGGAAATTCATTATCCCTCAGGTTAGCTTTTGGATCTATAAATTCTTTTCAACTTGAAAAGCATGCTTGTTATATCTTTTCTTCTTTTGCATGTTCAAGGTTATTTAATACTCATGTTCCATTTTATCTGGCACACTTTCCTTTTTCTTTGTTTGTTCCAAAAGGATGACCTTTCTCTATATTTAGAAACAATTTAACTTAAAACTTCCCATTTTTCCCTTAATGTCATGATTTTATAGCCACAGAAATGTCATGGCATGTCAAGTCTTTCATTCTTTCTTAAACTTTGTGTCCAGTCAAACACCTCCACATTCTTATATGATAATAGGTCAAAACACTTCCACATAAAATGAAATGGACGGAGTAGAGTACTGTATTCGCGAATCTTATGGTCTCCTATTTAATTCGGCTGATGACTGATACTTCTGTTCAAGCAAACTGTCAGTTGGCCTTAAACTGTGTATAGTTTTCTAAACTTGTAAAAGAATCTGAATACAAACATAACTAACTGCATAGCATTTCATTAAATCACATTTAGCATACGTTTGCCAAGATATTGTTTAACAGGGTTTCATGGAATCTTAATTCTTGCTTTGCAGATAAGTAACCTTGCTAGCATATGGTTTATATCCCTCTTTCTTTCCATTTTCGCAACTGGTATTCTGGAGATGAGATGGAGTGGTGTTGGAATTGATGAATGGTGGAGAAATGAACAGTTTTGGGTCATTGGTGGTGTGTCAGCTCACTTGTTTGCTGTCTTCCAAGGGTTGCTCAAAGTGCTTGCTGGTATTGATACCAACTTTACTGTCACATCCAAGGCATCAGATGAAGATGGTGACTTTGCCGAACTCTACTTGTTCAAGTGGACTACTCTTCTTATACCCCCCACTACTCTCCTCATTGTAAACCTGGTAGGAGTTGTGGCCGGCATCTCATACGCTGTCAACAGTGGTTACCAATCATGGGGTCCACTCTTTGGTAAATTATTCTTTGCTTTCTGGGTGATTGTTCACCTTTATCCCTTCCTCAAAGGTCTCATGGGTCGTCAGAACCGGACACCCACTATTGTGGTCGTATGGTCTATTCTTCTGGCCTCCATTTTCTCTTTGTTATGGGTGCGGATTGATCCCTTCACCACAAGAGTTACTGGACCAGACGTTCAGGAGTGTGGTATCAATTGCTAGAAAAAAAACCTCCAAATTTGCATGCAAAGCAAAGAACTAGCCTGAAGGTCATTGAAGTACGATTTACTCAACAATGCAAGCAAACAAAACTCAAGATGCTCTCTAGCTGCATAATCTATCATCGTTTTTTTTCATCCGAACTTGGGTGTGTACCTGTTTTTTGTCCATGTTAAGTTTACTGTATTTGTGCAGAATTTAGCCATGTAAAAGTTCCTTGTTGATCCAAGATCAAACAACAAACACCAAGATCAAAATTTGCTCTCTGTTTTAGGTTTCATTCCCAGATAGAAACTCTGCTTGATGTATACGTATTTTATATTGCCCCATATTGATGGATGCAATGTTGTAACTTATAGTTCCCTTAATGCTCTAGTGTATTTATTTATTCATTCAAATTGTGTTGCAATGTCAGGACTTCAAAGATTATTACTTATATGGTAAAAATAGTTTGTTTTCCTTTTCTGAACTCTCTTTCAGCGTTGAGTATCTTGTTTTAACTATGGTAGTAATTTCTTTATCCAATCCGAAACATATCTTGACAGAGATCAGAAAACTTTTGAATTCCAAATTCGAGGATATAATACTAGCCATATTTATCTTCAGTTTAACTTTTAAAGCAACGTCAAATTTCTTATATTGCGCATTTTTCTCATTTTTCGGACCATATATATATCTCCTAAATGACTCTTCTCCTTAAAACGACTTTAAGTTAAAGTGAGGTATAGTAACTAGTAAGATGTGATACTAGAAGTAGAGTGTCAAGATAAATTCAAGACCCATCACTGTTTAACAAGTTAGTAATATGAACTTGAGGATTCCATTGTTTTTTTGCCAACATCAAGATTGTCATGAAAGAGGATGAATTAGCTACATTTGAGTTTATTAATGGTGTAAAAATTGATAACACTACTAGTAGTACTACTGTTACTAACGTTTTGCCTTTTTTTGACCTCTCTCTCTCTCTCTCTGTGCGTATGAGTCATGAAAAAGTACCAGACTTTTCACTTCAATCATAACTATCCCAGGCCCCAGCATTTAACTAAGCAACAAGGTTCACATACTAGTTGCTTCTCAATAATTTCATTCATTATCCCTTTTCAGCATTGATTTTCTCCTCTCTATTTCTTCTTGATCTGGGAATTCAAAATTTTAAATAAAGAATAATTGAATCTACAAATCCTTTTTTTTATTGCTCAATTAATGGCTTATGCTTCTGTTGTTTCTCTTGCTCAAACTCTGGAGCAACTCAATTCCAGAATCCCAGGTTAGTTTTCTGACCCAACAATAGAATCGCTAGTTGGATCTCTTGAATATTTAAAAGCCTTTCATGATGATAGTAGCAAGAGAAGTTATCACCAAGAAAAACTCACATTTTTGGTTGGAAAGTTTAGACATGCACTAAATGAAGCTGAAGATATTATTGAACTAAAGATTTGTGAAATTCATGAAAGGGGAAGTTTGAGTGGTATTGAAAAAGCAAGTGAAGATTTACTAGCAAGTTTACTACCACTAGTAGAGAAAATTGAGTTAATAAGGAAAGAGTTGGTGCTGAGTCTTGAGACTTGCACTAGCCATGGCCATGACATTGAATCTGCTGATGATCATTTCAAGACTCGGGAATCTATGCTTGGAAGTCCGTCTAGAAGTAGTTTTAATACAAATGCTGTTGTGGGTCTTGATGATGATTTGGAGAAGATTATAGAAAGACTACTTGGGTCCTCATCCGAGAGAAAAGTTGTTGCCATTACAGGTAGAAAGTCACAAAACTAAATTTTGGTCATGATAAAGTTACTACTTTACCCACTATAATAATAGTCACTAAACTATTTTTTGTCACATTAATGTAACTAAATTTAGCCACTGTAACAGTAAAGTTACCTTGACGGCTAGGTTTTGTTCTTTTAGTAGGTACAATTTAGTGACTATGTTCGGTTACTTTAATGTGACAAAAGTAGTTTTGTGACTCTACTGTTAATTGTTATAGTGAGTAAAGTTTAGTGACTTGGCTTTTAGTGGGTAAAGTTCAACTGCTTTATTTTTGAAATGGATAAAGTTCAGTAATCATGTGTGAGATCAACCCTTACAGGTATGGGTGGAATTGGCAAAACGATACTTGCTAAAAAAGCTTATGATCATCGTCAAGTTAGGTGTCGCTTTGACATTCACGCATGGGTTACAGTATCTCGAGAGTATGGAATGAGAAGATTGTTGTTAAGTCTCGTCTGTTGCATTCCAGGCATGACTGATAAATTTCTAGAGAAGACTGAGGATAAATTAGCAGAGTTGTTATATAGAAGAGTAAAGGATCGAAGATATCTTATTGTCGTTGATGATATTTGGAGTACCGAAGTTTGGGACAATGTAACAAGATGTTTTCCAGATGACAACAATGGGAGTCGAATCATATTAACCAGCAGGCTTAAGGATGTGGCCACTTATGCGAATCCTGATAGCCCTTTGCATGAGATGGGGGTATTAAGTTTAGATGATAGTTGGAAATTACTTTCTATTAAGGTTTTTGAGGCAAATGATCTTTGTCCTTCTGAGTTGGAGGTTATCGGGAAGCAAATAGCAGAAAAATGTGGTGGACTTCCTTTGGCAATTCTGGTGGTTGCAGGGCATCTTTCTAAAATTGCTAGGAGAAGAGAAAGTTGGATTATTGTTGCCAAAACTCTAAGTTCAGTTGTTGCTAATGATCCTGATAAATGCCTAGGAGTGCTTGGTATGAGTTACAACTACCTACCGAACCACCTCAAGCCATGCTTCCTCTCTATGGGAGCTTTTCCCGAAGACTTTGAAATAAAAGCTCGGACTTTGATCCAAGTTTGGGTTGCTGAAGGGTTTTAAGCCGAAAGGCTCAAGAGCTTGGAAAAAGTTGCAGAAGAGTGTTTAGAGGATCTTAGTAGTAGAAATCTGATAATGATACAGAAGTTGTGGCATACATGATTTGTTAAGGGACTTGAGCTTAAGAGAAGCTGAAAAAGAGAAGTCTCTGCATGTGACATCAATTCGTTATGTCTCAAACTTTCTAGCTCAAAGGCATGAGCGTCGTGGCTTTAGCTTTCTTTCCGACATTTCTCTGGATGATTCTAGTGAGTTATCCTCTCAAGTTGTTCGATTGATGTTTTTCTGGGGTAAACTATTAATGCATGCTCCGCCTCATAGGAAAATGTCCTTATTCACGAGCTTCAAACTTATCAGAGTGCTGGCTATTTTTTCTCATTTGTTTTCTTCGTTCCCAGTTGAGATAACACGGCTAATTCATCTGAGGTATCTTTGGATTCGATCAAATGGTAATCTTCCTGCATCAGTTTCTCAGCTTTATCATCTGCAAACATTGGTGCTTCAACAGCCGGAACTATTTTATATGTACAAAACTTTAATTTTGCCTCGGGAGATCTGGAACATGACACAGCTGAGGCGTTTGCGTCTACTGAGTGGAAACTACTTGTCTAAGCCTAAAAGAACTGATGAGGGAGCAACAGATAATGTTTTGGGGCTAAGAAATCTAGAGGAACTTTCTCATTTATGTTTAGCTAGTTGTACAGAGGAAGTCTTTTCATGCATTCCCAATATACGTAAATTGAGTATTCTCGATGCTGCTTCAGACGATGCATCTGAATACTTAAAAAATCTGGTCCATTTAGAGAAACTTGAAACGTTGAAGTGCGTCTGCTATGGTCAAAAGCGGCTCTCCTTGTCAAACTGGTGTGCTTCCCTAACATCTGTTAAGAGGTTAATATTATCTGGTTGTCTTCTGCTTTCTGAAGACATGGCAAATCTTGCTACATTGCCCAATCTTGAAGTGCTTAAACTTAGAGATAACGAGTTTGAAGGTCATGCATGGAGACTAAGTGATGAAGACGAGTTCAATCAGCTAAAGTTCCTACTACTTGCTGAGCCGCGGCTAGTGAAGTGGGAATTAGCTAGTAGTGTTAACTTCCCAACTCTTCAAAAATTAGTATTGAGGAAATGCATATGTCTTGAGGAAATTCCGATTGATATTGGGGAGATATGTACATTGGAGGCAATTGAATTGATCTGCTGCAGTCCTGCACAGAATTCAGCAACAGAAATTCAAGAAGAACAAGAGAGCATGGGAAATTCTTGTCTTGATGTCCGCGTTTATGGTAAGTTTGTAGAAATATCAGCTCAATATTTAGCATTAGTTTCAAATTCTGACTGCTCCTGATATGAAGTATTTCATGAAATCACTCCTTGAGATGCTCAAAATTCTACAAACTAATCATGATTAGATTATGCCCCTAATATATGAGTAGGCTGTTTCTACCTTTGGATCTTCTATTTTGCCCCTCTCCTCATGTTATAATAGGCTTTTCTACTTTTTGGATCTTCCATTACTTGCTGTTTACTGACTGATGAGTTTCTTTCTCGCAGCTGATGATGAATCTTCGTCGTTGTTCGACTTCTGGAGAGCTGTACTAGATTGAGCTTGAGAAATATATACTAAAGACTGAATGCACCATCTTGAAAGGGAGTCTTGGAGCAACGTAAAGTTGTCTCCATCTGACCTATAGGTCAGAGATTCGAGCCGTAGAAGATTGTCTACACCACACCCCTTGATTGGGATGCGGTCCTATCCCGGACCCTGAACGCCCATCTTCTTATCCTAACCATAGGATGTGCCTATAGGATGCGCCTGTTGTGCTACATACTTAGTTATGCGCATTGCAATGGTTGAAAATATTGTGAATGACTGGATATTGCAAGTGACTATATTTTGGTTAATTAATTAGTCAGGATCAATAAATTCCTCAATCCAATAATCAGTGAAATCTTTAAGGAAAATAAAGTAAAAATTGCACGGGGCGCCTTATTTGGTCGCCCCCATTTAACCTATACCCATTTTTTTAAAAAGTTTTAACTTGTACCCACTTTTTAAATAACTTCAGCCCCCTTTCTCCTCCTTCTTCTTCTGCTGCTGTTGGTGCTGCTATGAAACTTCAGTTCATGTGGATGATTGCTATAAGTATGTTTATCAGATTAATTAAAAATAAATTATAAATAACTTTCTAAAGTAAGTTCTGAAGAAGATGATAGTAACTTGTTGGATTCAGCTTTGTACATTATCAATGCATTTTAACCTGTTGTGCTAAATCATTTATCTAGTTTTTTAAGTTACTAATTCTACTTATGATAAACTTATTATCTGTACAAAAAATCAATTACATGATAGCATAAAACATGCTGAAATTCAGCAAATATAGAACAAAACTTCAGCTAAAACATGCTGAAGTTCATCAAATAGAGAACAAAACTTCAGCTACTAGAATGCTTAAGTTCAGCAATTACAAGCAAAAACTTCAGCCAACACCAAGTTTACGTGAAAAACTTCAGCTAAAACATGCTGAAGTTCAGCAATTACAAACAAAAACTTCAGCAAATAGAGAACAAAACTTCAGCTACTAGAATGTTTAAGTGTCACGACCCAAAATCCACCTAGGGTCGTGATGGCGCCGGACACCACGGTCACGCAAGCCAACCAAAATACTTATTTAAATTCTCATTTTAATACTCTTGAAATCTATGATTTTCCTCCAAATTTACCAATAAAAGATAATCGCTTAAATTCAAATTAAATGATAAACAGTTAATACAAAATACTTCGTAACCATCCCAGAACCCGGTGTCACAAGTACATGAGCAATTTCTAACAATTTGAATAAAGTACAACAGCTGTCCGGAACACAAAGGGGATAGAAAATAAATAAAATTCTGAGGGAGATTATACTAGCTGCGGGTTGCCTCGAGGAAATACAACTCGCTTAGTCTCCGAGACGCCCGTGCTGCTACGCCCAATAGGCCAGTATAAATACATGTACCTGTGCAACAAAATGCACAGCAAGTGTAGCATGAGTACGAAAACAACGTGTACTCAGTAAGTATCCCGCCTAATCTCGAAGAAGTAAAGACGAGATGGCAACTTCGACACTTACTAATGGTCAAATAATAATATTATTAGGGCGATGACTCACGAATTTATTAAGGACAACAGTAGATTCAAATGAATTACTAAACAGGTAAAAGTTCCTTTTTATAAAAAGCCTCCGCATTCATAATCCATTAATTAACAATTATCTCAAGTCGGGGAGAGCAGATGGCAATATCAATAAATCTCAAGGCAAGCACTACAAGCATGCGCAACTCATGCTGAGGTCGTACTGCCCGATCCAACATAAATGCAAATTGTGCACTGCCGAGGGTCGAGCGGCACGAACCATAGATGCATCTATTACCCCGCTCGCGAATCATATATGCGACGCAGTCAAATTTAAATAAACAATCACCCTGCTCGCGTACCATACATGCGACGCAGGTACACATAGAAATATATGCTCAAACAACAAATTGAGAGTTTATCGGGGAACATTTATCCAAATAAAAGCCAATCCTCTTTTAATGATTTAAGAAAATGAAGTTTATTCCTCTTAGAAATTCATTTATCAATTCAATAGGATTTAAGAAATTCAATCGTCAATAAGATCACAGATATTCCAAGTATAGCATGCTTTTGGGTCCTAGACTACCCGGACTTACACATATTAGTAGCTACGCACGGACTCTCGTCACCTCGTGCGTACGTAGCCCCCACAAATAGGATCACATAACCAATTATTTCACCTATGGGGACAATTCCCTCTTACAAGGTTAGAAAGGAGACTCACCTCGCTCCGAAGCCTATATCCCGATTCAAGAACGCGCTCAAACTTCCAAATTCGGAGCCGAACAATCCAAAACTATTCAAATAGGGTAAGAACTAGTCAATACATGCTCAAAAGTTCATATTCTAATTATTAAACCAATTTCCCAACCCTAAATGCAAGGTTCCAAAAATTCATCGCCGGGCCCACGTGCCCGGATTCCGGAAATTTTTGAAGAAAGTTGTTACCCATAACCTAAGGATCATGAATATATGATTTTTACTCCATTCCCAAACAAATTTCGTGGTTAAATCTTGTTTTTACCACATTCTAGGTTTTTCATGTACAACCCTTAATTTTTCCTAATTTTTACATGTTAATCTACCCATAATCCATGTATTTAACTTATTATGTGTAGAAATTACTTACCTCTTTGATGATAATGGAATCCCTCCTCAAATGCTCTCAAAAATCGCCTAAGGCCAAGTGGGAAATGAGGGAAATGGGCTAAGTCTCGAAATAAAAAGCCCTGAGTTCCAGTCGCAGATGTCGCATTTGCGACATCCGGCTCGCAATTGCGATGTCTCATTTGCGAAAATTGCATCGCAAATGCGAAGCTCAGCTTCCCCCTGCCATGGTCGCATTTGCGACAAAGTTCTTCGCAATTGCGAAGAGGACAACATCACAAAAGCGACGGCCCCCTCGAAAATGCGATCTCCCCACAGCAGCCCCCAGGTTCGCAAATGCGATGTCGCATTTGCGACCCAAACACCGCAAATGCGGTCATACCAGTACCAGCAGCATCAAACCTTCTCCAAATTCCATTTTTGATCCATTAACCACCCGGAATCCACCCGAGACTCCCGGGACCCCAACCAATCATACCAACCAGTCCCAAAACACATTACGTACTTGCTCGAGGCCTCAAATCATATCAAGCAACGCTAAAACCATGAACTGACCTTCAATCCAAGCTTTATGAACTTTAGAACTTCAAACATCTACTTTCGATGTTTAAACATATCAAATCACGTCCGATTGACTTCAAATTTTGCGCACAAGTCATATTCGACATTACGGACCTACTCCAACTTTCGGAATCGAATTCCGACCCCGATATCAAAAAGTCCACCTCCGGTCAAACCTCTCAAAAACCTTCAAATTTCTATCCTTAGCCAAATGGCTCCAAAATGCTCCCCGGACATCCGAATTCTCTTCCGATCGCGCTCCCAACTCCAGAATCACCATACAAAGCTACTCCCAAACTCGGAATCCCAAACGGACATCAATAACACTGAAATGCACTTGAATCCAAACTTATAAAATTTCCTCCAAAATGCTAATTTCCACAATAGGCGCCAAAACGCTCCCGGGTCATCCACCCGATCCGGGCATACGCCCAAGTCCGAAATTATTATACGAACCTATTGGAACCTTCAGATCCAAATTCCGAGGTCGTTTACTCTGAGATCCCATCCTAGTCAATTTTCTCAACTTAAAGCTTCCGAAATGAGAATTTCCTCTCCAAGTCAACTCCGAACTTCGCAAAATTTAATTTCGACCACGCGTACAAGTCATAATGCCTGAATTGAAGCTGCTCATGGCCTCGAACTGCTGAACGACGCGCTAGGGCTCAAAACGACTAGTCGGGTCGTTACATCAAATTCAGCAATTACAAACAAAAACTTCAGCAAATAGAGAACAAAACTTCAGCTACTAGAATGCTTAAGTTCAGCAATTACAAACAAAAACTTCAGCCAACACTAAGTTTACATGAAAAACTTCTGCTAAAACATGCTGAAGTTCAGCAATTACAAACAAAAACTTCAGCACACTTGGTTCAGCAATTTTTGCTACTTCAGACCCGTCTACTAGAATGCTGAAGTTTGTGTAATTGCCTTTGCTACTTCAGGCCCGTATGCTGAAGTTACGCGAAAAAGTGGGTACACTTGTAATTTTTTTTGCAAAGCGGGTACAAGTTAAAACGTGACCCAAAAAGCGGGTATAGATGCAAATGCCCCGAAAATAAATCACTCATTACAATTCGAACCAACATCTATCTATCTATATCTATATTATCATAAAAGCATGAATAAAATGTTGGATTACAAAAATAACCTTTTAATATTAAGTATAATAACTCATAATAAAAGGACATAATTGAAATTCTAGACATTAGCCTTGTAATCCTATTACTTTTAGGATATACTTCTTAAAAAAATCCTATTACTAATTTAATTAAAAAAAAAGTATTATATTGTCCAAATCTATTAAAAAATAGGAGAGCCCATATATGATTATAAAAGTACGAATATAATATTGATAAATCAAATAGCTCTAAAATATTAAACAGAAGAACTCATACGGAAATGACATAGCTGTAATAACTTATTTTTGGGCTACAATAACTTCTCTGTTAATTTTTTTAATATATAAAATTTAAAAATTAATACAATCTTGTTTATTGAACTCTTATTAAAAATATGTAGGAATGTTTAATAAAATCAATTTCATAAGAATCCTCCATTTGATAATACATTACCACTCTATAATATTCAATACCAAAAAAAAGTTTAATGCTAAACGGACTGCATAAAGTGTTGAAATTGAGAAAAAATTTCCACGATAATATATTATTATATTATATTTGAACTGCTTTCCTACTCAAATAATATTTTTTTATTATTTATTAATTTTTCGTGTAATATAGAAAAATATACCCAATTATTAAGAACGACTAAGAAATTTTTTAAGAATATAAATGTGTGAGAAAAGAAAGAAAAATATTGGCAAGAGCCAATACCATTAATAATTTTGCAAACATAAATATCTAAAAGTGAAATGTTATGATCTTTTTACTCTTTAAAAATAAATTTATGGTGGATAAAATTATAATCACGATTAAATATTCAAAAAATGAGATGAACTAATATTAAGAATCTAAATCAACAGAAAATAAATTATATTTTATGTTAAAACCAAATAATCAAATCTTTTCATTAATTATTTAGCAAGAGAATCCAATTAAATTATTTTTTAAATTCATCATATGCGTAAAATTATTTTTCAATTCAAAAAAATCTTAGGGTACATAAATTTATTCCATAAAAAGAGTGTTAGAGATCTAAAAAAATAGATCACAAAGTAAAAAAGAT